GCGGGGGGGGGGGGAGGCTTTCAAGCTTAATAAGTGGACTGTCATGAGTGGACTATTAAGCGACCGGATCGTTGAGTCAGTGTGAAACATTTAGGCTTGTTTTGTGAACTGGATCAACTGATTCAAAAGAATGTTTCCTCTAATATCACTATCATTACACAGATCTATGCCAGATTTTTTTATGAAAAACACTTCAGTTTGGTCCTGTTCCGCTCACAAAGCTTTTGCATGACTTCAGAACACTTGGTTGCATGAATCATATGAACTAAATTTCTGATAAGTGAATGGTGCTTTTTTCTGCTATTTCGGAGCTTGATAACCCCAGTTGTCATTCACTTTAATCAAATTTATAAAAAAGTGTATTTGTCAAAAATTCACCTTTGTTTAATTTAAGAAACAAATTCATAAAGGTTTGGAATGACATAAGGACAAGTAAATAATTATATAATTTTCATTTTTGAGTGAATCCCTTTAACTTCAATATCCAAATGGCTTTTCTGAGGTACATCACTACAATCAGTTCACCAAACTTCTTTCATTACACAGAGCTAGTAATCAGCTTATAAAATACACCTTCAAGTGCTGAAGCTTCAGTGCTTGTGCTGATGAATTACGCAGCCAAACTCATGCATGAATTTTAACCACATGGTTGAACTTTAGCTGATGGAAGACTAAAATCTCTTTTTAGTTTTTTCTTTTCATACTGAGCTACTGCACAAATCAAATTTATTGCATTTTAATATTTGCTGATCCACAGATCATCAAACACCCGCAACAGGGCCCTAAGAGAGATAATACAAGGGCCCTTTAAAACCCCTTTTGAGTCAAATGTTATTAGTTTCATTGTTGAGCTGTATTTTGTTTGCCGATCTTGGCGATTGTGTCTGACCAAGTTAGATTTGAGGGTCAGGTTCTCAAAGTGCAGGGCTAAAGAATAAGATCCTTTGTGTATTGTGTGTAGTGTGTGTAAGTAGTTTAAGTGATCTCTATATGCGTGTAGGAGATTTTAGTGCTTTTAGACTCGGTGCGCTGAGCCTGCGATTAAGAGGATAAATTTTGGGTGATGTCAGAGAGTTATAATGGCATCCACAATTCTGCAGCGTAGATTATCTACAACATAATGGAGGGTAATCTCACATGTATGAAATGGGAGAAAGAAAATGAATGGAAAAAGAAAAGAGATGTCTTTGGAGGTCTTGTCATTAATTTTGAGTCTATCCTAGTTTGTGAAAAGGAGCTATGAAAGCATCCTTCATTGTATTCCATGAATGTGTTATTGCTTGGTTCTCGGTTATGTTTAATCAAAGGGTTAGTTCACCCAAAAATTAAAATTCTGTCATCATTTACACCTTAAGTGACAAATAATGACATACGAAACCCATAAAAGAGTGACAAACAATCACAAATGAAACCCATAACCAACAGAATAAGCACAAAAATTACCCAAAAATATATTATTATTATTATGGATAATGGATAATGGTCAGACAATTGCAGACTTGGTTCTGAGACATTGTTCTGAGAATTACAGATTTTTGTATCTTCAGCAAATCCGAACAAATCTCTGAAGAGGGAGTCTTTTCTCAGGAGATTTAAGCAAAAATCAATTTTATTAATTTGCTCTCCATTTAATTTCATTGCTGTCTAGAAGAATATTTGAAATTATAAAGAGATCGCATTTGTACTTATTATGTTGGTTATGGGTTTCATTTGTTATTGTTTGTCACTCATTTATGGGTTTTGTATGTGATTATTTGTCACTTGTTTGTGCTTATTCTGTTAATTTTTCTCAATTCTCAATTCAAGACCTGTTTGTTCAACTTTATAGTTGCATTGACAGAACGGTTCTCTGCAGGATTGTGCTTTCAGCAGTTTGATGTCATTTGTATTAGAGACTGCCAAGTCAGAGAGGATTTTAGTTTTACGTGCTGTCTAATTCTGTGTGAGATGCAAGTCTTTTTTCCTCTCTGACGTACATGCTGCAGGCCTGAGACGCCCTTCTGTGAGCTGCTGTTGTTACAAGGCTAATGGGAATGTCTCACCATTCTTTTTTCATTGTTTCGAAAGCACAAAAAAATGATCAAGTTAAGTTATGCACAGTAGCAACAATGGCCTGCAGTGTTAGCATGCGTTAGATCAACTGTAAAACAGGGAGCATATGGGGGCTGCTTGCCTCCACATGACACTCCTCTGGAGAGGATGGACACTAGCAACTTATAACTGAGATGATGGGCAGCATCTGCAAAGATCTAAATTAAAATAAATGCATTGCCACAAACACATGATGTGTAAGAGCTCCATTTCTCACGAGGCTCTGGCCTGTGTCACATTCCCTCGCTCTCTCACCAATAATTTCCTGTTGCTGTCCTCTATCTGATCTCATAAAAATGTTTAAAAGCCCCAATATATGTATATACTGTATATATATATATATATATATATATATATATACAGTATTTAAAACATGATCCTATCCACCCTGTCTGGGTGTCATTATGGATAGCAACTATCTTTTGAAGCTCATGTCAATAATATTACGCGTACTGTGTATTTTCACCTGCGTAACATTAATCGCCTTCATGCCTCTCTCACAATGAATAATATTGCAATTCTTAGTCATGCACTGGTTACCTCACGTATCGACTATTGTAATGCTCTCCTTACTGGTCTTCCTTCTAAACTTCTCTATAAACTCCAATTGGTTCAGAACTCAGCAGCTCGTGTTCTTTCTAGGACTTCATCAATAGAGCACATTTCTCCAGTTCTCCAACGTTTACACTGGCTCCCAGTAAAGTATCGCATTGATTTTAAAATTTTGCTTCTCACATTGAAGGCACTTCACAACCTTGCTCCACCGTATCTTACTGACCTTCTCCACATCTATACTCCTCCTTGCACTCTCAGATCTTCACACTCGATCTCTCTTGTGTCGCCGCGTATACGTTTAAGCACCATGGGAGCAAGAACTTTTAGTTTTGCGGCCCCTCGCCTATGGAACTCTCTTCCCCCCAATATACGGAACAGTGACAGCCTTCATACTTTTAAATCTCGTCTTAAGACTTATCTTTTTACCCAGGCTTTCTTATGACTTGCTCTTATTAATTGCTCTTGTAAGCCTTTATTGTATTCATGATGTATGCAATTGTGCTGTTGAATTTTGTAATGCTGGCAGGACTTGTTTATTTATCGTTACTGTTTTTACTATTTGCTTGCTGTTAGGTGACCTTGGGTGTTTAGAAAGGCGCCACTAAATAAAATGAATTATTATTATTATCCATACAGACCCGTGACACCAGTTGTGAAGCATTGTTTTAGAGGGCGGTGAGCTGCTCTGGGCCTCGTGGCCATGAGAAGAGAAATACTGCCTTCTGCTAGTCTGATAGCAGCATCTTCTAAAGTTAGATTTGATTTAATTTGTGCTGAGCTGAGGATGATCGTGGATAGGATGGAGAGAGAGAGTGACTAGAGAATCACATGAAGGGGATCATTAATTAAGGACTGGCCTGATTTCACAATGGAGATAATGCCTCTGACATCCGTACAGTAAGTCCATCAGTATGTCTTTCTACCTCTGAGCTCCATTGAAAAATTTTTTTTGCCACATGTTTGTCCAACAAAGTTTTTGTAAAGTTCATTTTGTTTACTAGATTGATTTTCTCATCTAGATACAGTGGCCACAAATACAGTAGTACACTTTAGCCACTTTTAAAAATGGCTGAATTTCATTACTTCAACATGACTTTTATGAGCCAATTTTTTTTTTTTTTGCTAAATGGTCCCAAGATGATTGTTAATAAATGTATGAAGTAACTGCCCCTCAAGTGAACAGTGTTGGATAACCAGAATGTTTCCAAAGACTTTCTATCTTCATTTTGAACACTCAACTATTGTTTTATCTTTTGAAATATAACCTGAAACCTGTTTCACTTGAAGTTTGTTTTCTTTTCTAAAAATAGTTTCAGTTGTGTCAAATTGTTTGGATATTTTGTTATACATGCAATGACATTCACTTAAACACACATGTGACTGAAGTGTTTAAATTGGGACATTTTTGTCTGATTATTTTGTCTTTATATTAAGTAAAAAATGTCATTGTTTTTTTTTTTAATGCTATTTGGCTGAGGCTGAAACATCGGTAACCGTGCAAGCTCTTTATCATTCCTTTTAAAATTTAGTCACAATGTCTTTTTAGACCAGTTAACTAGATTTGCTCATTTCTGCTGATCCCTGGAGACATTTCCATTTCCAAATCCACTCGCTGGCTTAAAGCTTTATTGGAATAGACTGCCAGTTCTGTCTGGCAGGTTGGCATGAATCATAGATAACTATGAAACAAAAAAAAAGTTCCTCCGAACATCTTGGGAAAAAAAG